CAAATCGATCGCCCAGATATTGAGGAAATACTCCAAAAAAAAARAATATTGGAAAGAGAAATTGAGACAAGAAGRAAATTTTCTTCAAAGAAGCAAAGTCCCCCACTCAGCAAGTTTTGAGTTCCCCCAGTATCCCTGTTACCCTAACATCGAAAGACCGCATCAACAGAATTTTTAAGTCCTACTGCAGGTAAGTTGAGCAAAGATGGGTAAAAATGAAAAAAAAAAAACAAGAAAATCGGCATTGCAACCAAGAAACTCGGAATTGCAACCAAGAAAAAGAATCGCGACTTCAAAATTTCCAGAGATATAGGAACAGTGCAATTTGTATGGTAAAACCGTAGCACCAATAAAACAAAAACGAATTTCCGCTATAGAGAGAGAATTCCAGATTTCAAAACGAGGGGGGAAATTTTGAAATATGCCCAGACAAAGTCGCAACTAATATGAGGAAATAAATTTCGATTTTGGGGCATACATCACAAAGTAAACAAGATGATAGTCCCACGAACTAATTAATCAAGCAAAGCACGCAAGCAATCAAGCAATCAATTTTCTCTAATCGACTCGCGAGCTAGGTCGGATTAGTCCAGATTCACTTGCAAAACTCCGATACCAACTGACACATACTCAGTATGAGCCGAGTGATGCAAAGGAGCCAAAGGATCAGCGAAGTCATGATAAGGACTCAGCCTCACAATGCGTCAACAAAAAAGCAATGTGAGCACAAACCATCACCAAATAAGACAATGTAGCACAGCGGAAGAGTCAAAATAACCTCACTCAAGGACTGAGACCCAACTCATCCCATCATCAACACACATGTGAGCGAGGAGGATCCGCAAACATGGAAGAAATGTCCCTCCTTGTACACACACATGGGAGGCATACAATGGATGAAGGGAGGTGCGAGGAGGAAGAAGAAGATGGAGGCGAGGGAGTAGGCCACAGTCGTAATAACACTGTCCAAAAATAGTCTCCCTATCAGAGGATGGATATGGACAGTGGAGAGAGGAAGAAGAAGTCGAACCTCCTCGCTCTCACCTGCATACTACTGCCATGCACTGACTAGCTGCCATGTCTCTCTGTGCTGCAGGTCGTTGGCAAAGGAGCCATCTATGGCGGCCAGGTAGGTCCACTGCAAGTACAGCGCCAGCTCCAACCCTCTCCTCGCTACCTCCTAACACTACTACAGCAGTAAAGTCATGCGCTGCTCCAGCTGTGTGACACCCTCTGAATGACTACTCGATGTGCTGGTCCAGAGGGCTGGCCCAGCTATATAGCGCTGGGCATAATGGCCCTGGTCGAGGCCCGAGTCCTGGACCAGCGACCTGGACTAAAAACGGCTTGCCTCGGTCCCTACCAGGCATCCAGGCGATCCTGCTGATGCAGCAGGACTTGTGGACTATGTTTGCTGTTGCTATGAATGATTGGGCAAGTAGGGCGAGCAGAGGAGAAGGTTGGAAAGAACATAAATGCAAGTACTGCGCAGGCAGGTAGACATACAGACAAAGACAGCCACAGACAGATAGACCAGCCATAGACGGATAGACCAGACACATAGCTAATTAAGAATCGGTGTCGCACAGACATGGCAGAGGCAGATGCTATTCTAAAACAGTGCACTCTCTAAACAACAGTGTGTGAATATATTTCTTTATAGATTTGCAGGCAGTTAGTTCCGATAAACAGACATAAAAACAGACTGACTGACAGATAGATCAGGAACACTGTCACAGGAAGTTAGTTTTAGATAAACAGACAGATAAAACTGACGGACTGATAGATAAGGAAACCCAATGGACGTGCCTACACAGAATTAAAAGAAGTTTTACATAAACAGACTAGTTGACGGATATACCCCCATTGTACGTGCCTATATAGAATTGCAGGAAGTTAGCAGAAAGATAAACTGACTTTCCATATACGAAGTCCAGATAAACAGACCTATAAACTGACTGACTGATAAATAAGGAACCCCATTGGACACACCTACATAGAATTGAAGGAAGATTAGATAAACACACCGGTATAGAATTGCAGGAAGATAGTTAAAAAAAAAAACAAAAAAAAAACATTGGACAAGCCTACATAGATTTGAAGGAAGATGAGATAAACCGACTGACTGACGGATATATAAGGAACCCCCATTGTATGCACCTATATAAAATTGCAGGAAGTTAGTTTAGATAGACAGCCAAACTGACAGACTGAAGATCAAGGAACCCCATTGTGACTGATTGGTAGATAAGGAACCTCATTGGACGTGCCTACAAACTACGTGCCCATATAGAATTGCAGGAATTTAGTCTAGATAAACAGACAGCTAATCTGACAGACTGAATGACTGCCTGATGGATCAAGGAACCTAATTGTGACTGACTAATAGATAAGGAACACCATTTGACGCGCCTACATTGAACTGAAGGAAGATTAGAAGAACAGACTGACTGACAGATAGATCAGGAACCCCCATTGTATGCGCCTATATAGAATTGCAGGAGGTTAGTTCAGATAAACAGACAGCTGAACTGACAGACTGAACGACTGCCTGATAGATCAAGGAACCCAACTGTACGCACCTATACAGAATTGACAATTCTTTTTTTTTAAATAGAATTGCAGTAAGTTAATTTACACGAACAGACAAACTGACTGACTAAGACAGTTTAACTGACTGACTGAACAACTGCCTGACAGACCAAGGAACACTTAGCTTCGATAAACAGACAGATAAACTGACTGACTAAATGACTGTCAGATAGATCAAGGAAACCAATTTTACGCGCCTATATAAAATTGCAGCAAGTTACTTTGAAAATTGCAGCATTTACACAAGCAGACCGATAAACTGACTGACAAATCACTCCCTGGCAGGTAAGCAACCCCATTGGACGTGGCGTTGCCACTATGCCCCCTCTGCAATCCCTGTTCGTAAAGCCGGCTACCGTAGTTAGTTGTACTGACACCGTCAGAGCAAGAGCTGACTGACTAATCACTCCCTGATAGATAAGGAACCCCATTGGAAGCGGTGTTGCCATTATGCACCCTCTGCAACCCCTGTTGATAAAGCCGGCTACCGTAGTTAGTTGGACTGAGACGATCAGAGCAAGAGCACCGCAACCAGACAACCGTTGTCAGAAAATCGTTACAACAAGAGGATGGCTCGAATCCTCCGACCGCTGTGGCTAGGGGATGTGAACAGACCACACAAAAAAAATTCTAAAAGATCCGTCATCCCAACCTTCCATTATTACTACCAGAATAATGTGTGCTAACATACCTCTTGTATTCACACATAATCATCTCTACGTGCTTTGCACCCGGTCACATGTTACGGATCAGGTTATGAACAGACCACACAACACAGATTCTAAAAGATCCGCCATCCCAACCTTCCATTATTACCAGAATAATTTGTGATCACATCTACCTCTTGTATTCACATCTAATCATCGCTGCGTGCTTTGCACCCGGTCACATGTTACGGATCAGGCGCGCGCTAGGTTGGAGAATAGAACCGACAAACAAGAAACGACTAATCCCAACGCTGAGAATGCACTCTCTTGGCCGCGTGCCTGCATACACGTGCCCTTCTCCGGAGTAGCCAAGCGTACACGTGAGCACCTCTGGAGTAGCCACCCGCTTTACGCGTCCGTCTCTGCCGTAGCAATAACGTGTATCCGTACAATGAAGTCGTTACAACTCACGATGAAAATGTGCAAACCACAAACCCAAAGACGACAAAATTGTAGCCGGCCGACCTGGGTCATCGTTTACTTATGCGCTGAAAGAAGCAGCAACGCCCCAAAAAAACAAAAAAAAAAAAACACTGAAAAAAGAAGCTGCACCCTGTGGTTGTATAAATATATGACAGTCGGACGGAACGCTCCGTTACAGTCCCTCCTTATTAATCCTTTCCTCCCTTTCAGCCTACGTGGTTGTTTGAATCAACTGACTTACGGCGTCGCTCCAATACTCACCAAATGTGCAAAATGAAACGGTATTCACCAATTCGTGGTAGCTGAGGCAGATCCCAGGGCTCGATCCCTAGTTCCCCAACTTACCTGTGTACAATACCTGCGTCAACT